GTTTAAAATGCGGCTGAGTCTGTCATAGTGAAGTGAGGTTCCGGTGGCGGAGGGCAGCGTGCTTCTCCCGATGTACAACGTTGTTTCAAGGGAGGAAACTGACGTGAAAAAAACAAGTCTGTGAAAATCACTTTTTTTTGCAAATGGGTAGTGAGAGAGCAGGGTGGGGTGAGGCTGTGGTAGCCCGTGGCAGTGGAAAAATACTGAGCCTCAACAAGTTTCACTTCCTATCGCACATCGGAGACTGCTCTGGGTTGGAAGGGACCTTACAGATCATCCAGCTCCAACCCCCCTGCCGTGAGCAGGGACATCTTCCACCAGACCAGGTTGCTGAGAGCCCCGTCCAACCTGGCCTTGAACACTGCCAGGGAGGTGGCAGCCACAGCTTCTCTGGGCAACCTGTTCCAGTGCCTCACCACCCTCACGGTAAAGAATTTCATCCTAATATCGAATCTAAATCTGACGTCTTTCAGTTTAAAGCCATTCCCCCTTGTCCTGTCACTACGTGCCCTTGTAAAAAGTTACTCTCCAGCTTTCTTACAGGCCCCTTTTAAGTACTGGAAGGCCTCAATAAGGTCTCCCTGGAGCCTTCTCCAGGCTGAATGACCCCAGCTCTCTCAGCCTTTCCTCGTAGGAGACATGCTGCATCCCTCTGGTCATTTTTGTGGCCCTTGTCTGTAATTGTCCATGTGTTTAGAGGAGTTCTGCCTCAGCTGCCCTGGATTATTGTTTTGTAAATCGTATTTCAACTAATTTGTGCTGTTCTTTGCTCCACTTCTGCTCATTTCTGAAATAGCTTCTCCTTGGTCCTCACACAGTAAGCACATTTTTCTGTCTGCAGTGTTATTCATGGAGACTGACCTTACAAGCCTCTTGGTTTATTTGTGTTTATTGGGAGCTGGGAAGCCCTCTAGGGAACTGTAGTTTGGCTTGAAGTTTGGTGTAAAGTCAGTGCTGTTGGAGGAAATGTATTTGTCTCTTAAAAATACGTGTTGAAAGTTACTGGTTGCATTTGACTGTGAGAATCCCTGTGGAAGATGCCTGCCACGCTGCACCTTGGTATCGTGGCGTATGAGGGCAACGGGCCTGGCTGTGTTAAAGATAGAGGCAGCACTACTGTGGAGCTCTCTACATTGTCTGTGATCACAGTGGAGAGAAAAAGGTTAACTAGCATGCTTTTTTGGCTTCTAGGGAGCTAGCTGAGCTACTGTGCTTTCCAACTACGTATAACTGCCTCTCCGTGGTCAGTAACTTCCTTGAGATAAGATAGCAGCAAGTCATAAATTGTAACCTGTAAAGTTTTTTTTGTTTGATCTTTAATCAGATTGGATGCTGACGATAATACAAAGCTTCATGAGTTCAGCTCACCTTACTGTGGAGTGTAGCCGCGTTTACTCTTGCAGCTTCTGTGCTCAGTAAAGCTGCTTGGATTGATAATCTATCCCCTTAGACTTAATACTGTGTGGTTTCATTTTAGGTGTGGAGTGAGGTACACGTTTGGCGTGCTATACGGAAATTCTCCTGTGTTTCTAGATGAAGTTACTGAAGGTGTACAAATCGTGTGTTTCTAGTGTAGTAGAAAAAATACTGATTTCTAGTGTTTAGCGCTTTTAAAATACGGCAGAAAATTTAAGTTCAATGCAATATCTACGTAAAAGTTGGTGTAATATGAAGTGGGATCAGATTATGTATTGAGAAACTTTGAGGTTCTTAAAACTGTGCTTTGGTCTACTGATTCCAGCTATTGAGCTTTACTTGCTCATTTGTGAGGACAAGACAGGGAACCATTTTTATAATTTAATAAAGGAAATGCTTGTACAATGGTTTGCTAAGTGGATAGACTACCTCATGGACAAATTTGTTTTGAATGAGTCATTTCTTTAACTCTAAACTTAAACTTACATACTGAATGAATAATTTTGGTGCACATACATGAGGATTTAATGTATTTTAAAAAATGCCCTCTCCTTTTATTTAAAATATTTTTTTAAGATTTTTCAAATCTTTTTTTAAAGAATTTGTCCTGAGGCTGTACATGCCCGCAAAATATAACTGTCTCTACATAATTGGCTTTACAAAGGAAGTCCTGAAACTTTGTAAATTAGGTCTAAAATTAGACCTGTGTAAGTACATAGTTCTTGGGTCACTTGTGGCTCACAGGCTGCTTCGTCTTTTGGCAGATGGCTGTAGAGCCAGTGTGTATGACTTAGCAGGGGGACTTTAAGTTTCCTGGAGCATTGTTACCCAGCCGGAATGAATGCTGCCTGGACTGCTGTTCAGTTAGGGGGGCTGTAGTGTCTGACCAGGCAGGTTGTGTGTTGTGGCTTCTTTCTCAGTCCCTGCCAAGTAACAGACAGTGCCCCTTCAGCCACCAGAACTGAGACAGCAGGGCCATGGATTTGTGTAGTCAGGGCAGCAGAGGGAGGGAGGGAAGGAAGGAAGGAAGGAAGGAAGAGTGAACTGCAGTGTGAATGGGAGAGGGGGATCAGATTGAATGAGGCGTGTTGCCAGTGGCAAATGGCCCACAAGTCACAGTGCCAATGGCGTAGTGGTCTTGTGGCCCACTCACTTGCGCATTCCTCCTGTAAAGCTGAAAGCTGGAGTCTGCACTTGCTTGAAAGCTGAGGGTGTCACTTTCAGTTTTACTTTTGATGTGTTCCTGCTTAATGGTTCAGACCTTTACCCCCTTTTTTTTTTCCCCTCATGGGGAGTGTGAAATGGTAGAGACCCTTGAAGTAAGGCTGAAGGGTCAGATTTTAATTTAGGCTGGCCATAATTTGAAAATTAATTATTAAATCAGATGCTTGCTATACAGACTTACTTTTCTTTCCTGTCTCTTTCAGTTCCTTGATGACTTAAACAGATGGAGTCTGCTTCTCATTTCTCCTTTTATTTATCCTGACAAGTTACTTAAAGCAGAACATATAGCTTTTGTGACAGAAAGCATTTCAGCTCAGTCAGATAGTTTGCAGAAAGTACCTGGCTCTTCAAAAGAGGTAAGTGGTTCTCTTTGTTTCTTGCATAGAAAGTAGTACAGATGAGTCATGTGGTAGGTATAAACCTAAAACAGTTAAAGGAGAAAAAGTGATGGCATATAGATTTTGTTTTTTTATAATGTTATTTGGAATAAAAAGATAATCTTTTCATTAAAATAAATCACTGTTAGTACTCTAGTTCTGTTTTATGCTTCAGATAGACCCATAGACATTTTATTGAGATTTTTTTAGAGGCACACTTCTCTGCCTGTGGATGGATGGGAACTGCAGAACTGCATCATGACTTTGGATAAGGCACATATGGTTAGATACACTGAACAGGAAAAAAAATGCTTGAAAGGTGTCATACTGAGGCAGATCAGAAGTCCATTTAGCTCAGTATCCTGTCTCTGACACTAGTTGAAACAAATACCTCCGTAAGAATATACAAAGCAAGCGTATGTTGAGATTTCTGAAAAGCTCTTTAAACCGCCAGCCAAGTGGTTGTGAAAAGTTGTAATTGAAGTCCCTCTTGGAAGCTTCCTTTCACTGTGATTTATAAGTACAAGTTAAGGTATTATACATTTGGATTATTTTGCCAGTCTGCAGAAGTAGGGCCAAAATCAAGCTTTTAATCTCTTTGTTTTTCTGTAAAATGCAGTGAGGGAATGGCAATACTTCTTGGTTGGAATTTTATAAATTGTGTTTGCCTTTTAGTTCATGCTACTTCCAAAATGCTTTTGAGACATCCAAAGACGTAAATTAAACTGGTACTGAAATCTTTATGGGAAGCACACTTACAAAATGTTCATGTCCTACATACTTAGAAATCTAAAAAGTGCCTTCTCCGCTACTGCACTGAAGGTTGCAAAGATGTGGATTTAAAAGATGATGTTCTGAACTTGAATGACAGAATATATAATAACTCCAAACAGATTATGTGTAAAAACAGTGTCCAGACCCTATAAAAACTTACTGTGAGCTGGAGATAATGTCTCTCTCTCCCTTAAATTTTGTTGGTTTTGTGACTTTTTCCTTGCATGAGGAATGTTTGCTGCCTAGACGTCTCAGTTTGGTTGCATGTCTGAAGGGGGAGAAAGGTTGTCAGCCAAACCAGAAGATAAACTTGCCTTGCAGGGAGGAAAAAATCTTCCAAGCAGTAAAGGTTGTCCTCATTCCTTCCTCATGCAGTCAGTTGTTGTGTGTGCTCTATGCTCTCCTTAGTGAAGAGGACAGAATGGACCTCATTGCCCCTTGGAAAGAGGAGAAATATAAGGACATGAGATCTCTGGGTAGGCAGTAGTAAAACCTCTGGCCTGATTGCTGGGGTACCATAAAATCTACAGAGCCCTCCTATTAAACAGGCTAAGCCACAGGCTGGAGTCACCACCCAGGGGCATCGAGCTTCTTCCTGAGGGGCCCCTGCTTAGCACCCTGATGGGCCATCTGTCATCCTTGCTTTTGGGCATCAGGTTTCAAGCTCCTTCTTGGAGTTAAAGGAAACCTGTCGCATACACAGGTGCTTGCGGCCCACCCGTTTCCCTGGATGAGGAACATAAATTTTCTAGGCCACTTGTTCTGGGAGATGATCCAGGAGTCCTCTGCTGGAGTTAACGCTGAGAGCAGAGTGGTTGGTAAACAGATTTATCTAACCCGAGTGCAGGAACAGAAGGACAGATTGGGAATGGGCACAATTCCAGATTTGTTCCTGCAATCAAATTTTTAGTAGCTTCATCCTCCATGGAGGCCCCTCAATTCTAGAACAGAGCATGCTTTTGGAGCATGTTAGTCTTTGCCCTCCAGGGGAACGATGCCCAGGTGGAGTGCTGCAGCAGGCAAAATCATTATCTCCGTGAAGCGTAGAGTGCGAGGACTGGAGGCACTGAAAGATTGTTGAGAACTCTCAGACCTTTTCTGGTGAAGTCTTTAGACCCTACTTCCACTGGCCTGATTTCTCCTTGGAGGACACAGGAAGTAGCCACATTAGCTGGTTGGTAAATGTTTTTATTGCCTTTGATGTTAGACAGTGGAATCCATCCAGGTGGGCCCTACTTCTAGGAGATACGCTAGATAGGATGCCTGCTGTGGTCTCCCTGTGGTCTCAGAGTGCACTGAGAGAGTGCTGTGCCAACTCGGACAGAAGGCTGGGGAAATTTTTTTTTTTGTACTTTACTTTTTTTTTTTTGTAGCAGAGGGGTCCACAGAAACATCTGGGTTGAAGCTGTAGTTTGTTGATCTTTTGTGGTTTATTTATTGTATATGAAGATTTTTAACCTTGTTGGTTTTTGTTTGCATTTTCTTTAAAATGGAAAATGTTTGCATTGTTATGTAGACATTAATAATTAATTTGATTTATCAAGCTCAGAAGTGATAGTCCAGACAAAAGACTGAAGCTAAAGAGGAAGAGGACCGCTGTTTTATTTTGTTTCTTTTTCTTCTGTGTACATGTCACTTCTAGCAAAGTGCTTTTAATTCTGCTACCTTTGGCAGCCAGTTGTCGACACAGGTAGGGGCTGTAAGAACAGATTGCTCCTGTGACCTATGAGAATTTCTAGACAGAAAAGCCATTCTTTGTAGGGCTGTCGGTGATCTGCGGCTGGTTTCTGTTGAAACTGAGGTGGACCCAGAAAGCAGGACTATAAATAATTTCTCATCTCTTACTAAGAGCTATTCTTTCATTCTGTATTCTGACAGACTTTTGATGGAAGATTTCTAGTCATAGCAGGAAAATGGCCTGTTTGAAAATATTCTCTGAGGATTTTTTGTTCTGTTGTGAAGCAAATGGATTGTTGTGTGAGCAGGATTACTGGTCATGTGTCTTGGCAACAGCCTTACTTTGTGAGGTTCTTTTGTGTGTTCACTTCATTTGCACTAGACAGCAATAACTACTTTTTACTTGTGTTGGCATGTCTAATGTTTTTCTTGATGCCATGAAAAAAAAGCTCAAGAGCATCAATATATCCTCATCACTGTTTCCAGGTGACGTGTAGGCATTACCTGCTTGTGCCTGTTCTCTGGGTAAGAAAGGATGTCTAAGTACGGTGTGAGTCTCTTACCCTCCACCACAGGGAGTAGCCCAAAGTCATATGCTGAGTAAAATAGAGGAGGAAGCTGGTATCCTGTGTCATAAATGTATCTGCCGTGTTTGTCACTGGTGATTGTGAATTGCCGATGGTTAGCAGCAGGCCCTTAGAGTTTTACATCTTATGGCTGCAACTGGACACTTCCATTCCAGCTGTGGATGTGTTACCAATAGACTAAACACAGCTGGGAATACCTTCTATCTGGAAAGTGATTCCGTTGTCCAGGACATGGCTCAAGGCAGTTGGCTGGGGCAATTCTGACTGACATGGTTACAGATTTCCCCAGTGACAGTGGGGTGAAGTCTGACTGATGCTCCAAGTAAAGTGATTCAGATCTGTTGGGGTCTGGTATAGCTGTCTCCCAGAAGGAGATTTTGTTCTGCTTCAGAGCTGGTCAGCACCAGTGTGCTCAGAAATATATCCTGTAACTTGGGAGCTGGTATTTCTTTGTGGTACAGAGTCATGGAGATGGTCTTTCAGGTCCTGGAGTAGAAACTCATTATTGTTGGTTTTACCAGTGAGCGGCTTTTATGTCCAGGAGTTCAGGACCTGAGTGATACTCTGTCATGAGTTTGAGGGCTGGCTGTCACCAGCTGTGTGTCCTGGTGTGGCTGGTTTGAAGCTATTACTTGCTTTTGTGTTACAGAGTTGGGGTTTAACCCGTAAGTAAAAACATGCAGCTGATCTTGTGGTAAACAACGTGCTGCCCACACACTGCTGTCTTTTTCTCTTTTTGAAACTGAGTTTGTTCACCAAGGGTTAGTATATGTGATGTATCAGAAGATGCTCAGCCAGTTTTCTTTTTAGGTATCCAAAGGCCACCAGTATGAATGTGGATGGTCTCATTTGGGGTGCACCAGTTGGAGAATGTCTTTGAGAATGACTTAGAAAAGAGATGCGACCATTAAGGTTGTAAGAAATCTGAGTTTCTTTCTTCTTGTTCCTTCGGCAAATACTGTAGAGTCAGAAGTTGGAAATAGATTCTTTCTGTTGTTATGTAAACCACTTAACTGCAGTAGATAAAAAGGTAAATTTAACTGATAGTCTAATAAAGTTACAAACTTACAAAGTAAAATATCCAAGAGCTCACCCTCATTTTGTGCACTCAAAAGAATTTTTTTTTTCTTACTGTGCTTAATTAGTGTTTTACATCTGGTGTGTAGTGATAAAAGGGTGAACTTCATGAAAGTGGTTTGGTGATGACAGCGTCAAAGTACTAGAGTTGCTATGTTGGAAATGAGTTTTGTCTCCCAGTAGTTGGAACATAGTAGATGGCCAGGGCTAAATTTTTTTAGGTCATGAAAACTGGTGGTGCTTCATTGCCTTCGCAGGAGAACAGTTGGTTCGTATAGCCTGTAAAGGGCAAAGGCTGTGGTATCATTCACACAGTTTGTATTGAAATTGGGTGCCTTATTTGGCTTTTACTTTCAGAATTGGCTCTTAAATCACTGTGTTTGTCAATTGTCTGAATATGGTATTGTTAGTTACTGTTGGTTTATATACATGAAGTCTAAAAGTGGTCCTTTTCAGTTATGAGTCAGTAGACAGATTTGTAGTCTTCATTAACTTGCCTGCCTTTTAGAAGGAAACGGAAACCCTTTTCACTTTTCCTCCACTTGTGGCTTTTATAGTTAAACTTGAAACTTGGTCTCCAAGATGGTACAGCTGTGTAGTTTGGGTTTAACAAACCTTCTTGAAGAAAACAAACCCAAGTGTGCCACTTTCATAATGGTTCTTTTCTGGACAATGGAATTTTTGGTGTAGATAAGCAGCTTGAATCTTCCGTGTTTAGTTAATGATAGTCAGTGTGTACTTTTAGTAAACCCTAGCAGTTTACTTTTGCTCTTTTTATCAGCATTCCTGTTAGAATTTGTGCTGAAAGCCATGTCTCGGAAACAAAGACAGATGGCATTTTACTTACAGAATGTGATAATGCTCTCCTGCCATTGTGTGTGTTACTTGAAGCTTTTATAGACTTGATCTTTGGGAAAGATGTATTTGTACTCCCAATTTGCTTTCAACGCTTGGTGTGGATGTTGCTTTGTTTACTACTCTCGGGACTGAATCTTGTAGCAGGTATTGCTTGCTACATGCCCCTTCCTCAGTAGGTTCTTTTGGTTATGTTTAGTGTCATACATACCTTTGTAGTCGTGAAGGGTGCATTTTTGTGTGAAAGGAACTGTCAGCTGAAAGCCTGCTCTAGTTGAGATGTGTTGTCTTACGATAATATTAAATGTAGTAGTTGTTTTAAACACATCAGGTATCACAGAAAAAGTATTAGAAGTGGTTCTGCCAGTTTAGTATTCCGTAATCTTAGTAGCTACACTGGTTTTTTTTAAAGTACTTTCTTCAATATTAATGCCAGTCTTTGGGTTTGCCAGTTGTGCCATTTTGGTTTGAGAATGTCCCTCTATTGGCTCTGCCTACTGTTGTGCTGCTTTTTAATAGCGGACTCCTTCAGGAAGGAAGGGCAGTTTTTATTTCAGTTCATTTTGCAGACTTATAATTTTGTTGGTGTTTCAGTATTTTTCTGTAACCTTTTCAAACTTAAAAACATGCATATGCTTTATTGTAGATTGTGAAGTGGTCAGACTATTGTTCACCACTGGCCTATAAACCTGGTGAGCCTTATAAGTTAATTGCTGAAGCAAGTGTAGATAATTTCAGTAACCTTGGAATAGCATTCATGGAGGACAGGCTTCAAATGGATAATGGAATGGTGCCACACAAGATTGTTTGTAAGTATCTTCATGAGTTGTTTTGAATGGTAGAATGTATTTGTTTCATGGTTATTTTCGGACTGTGCATATAGTATTTATACCTACATGAAAAATACACTTTTATTTTGGCACAGTGTTTTCTTCTTGTTGTCACTCTAGGCAGTTCATCACTCTGTAGCACTACGGTATTTTATAGAGAACACTGTTGAATATAGAGATCCTTGAAAAGTTAGACCACTTTTTGAGTGAGTTTCTCTCTTTGCAGAACATCTTACAAATGCAACAACAGAAAAAAACAGAAAAATGGTTCCAAAGATTTTTGGAATAACCCCCTTCTTTTTCTGTAATGCCTCATAAGCTACTGCCAATAATTAGCCTTAGTATTATGAGATCTCCGGGTATCCAAGATGGTGTTTAACCTTTTGCAAGTGCATGAATGTAGAAATGTCACAAAGGTTAGAAAATATTGTTTCTCGAAGTCTTGTCCAAATAGATTAGTTAATCTAACAGACAAAAAAACAACAGAAGGTTTTAGGCAGAAGTTCTCTTTTTTCTTTTCAGATTTGAAATAAGAGTGTATTTAAAACTAAACATAGGTTGAGAACAATTGCTGTGAGTTGAGCATTTTAGTCCGTTAGGTCAGTGAGAGAAAAGCTCACAGATGCTTTCTAAACAGGGAGAGGGAGAGCTGGGGGAAGGAGGGTGCTCTCATTGCTCATTGAATTTTGAATTTTTGGTATATGGTTTATTTCTTTAGGGTGTGATTTTTTTTTTTT